CAAAATTGTACTGTTTTTGCTGTACCTTGGATCAAATAAATGCAGGTTTGGAGAGCATCTTTCTGTTCAAAACAGTTCCCCCTTTTTGCCCATTTTATCATTTAACATGAGCTACTGCATAATTATACAACAAACACCACTAATGAGAATAAATAACTGGTGACCAAATGATGATAGATTCTGCTTTCCATTACCAAATTATTTTATCTCACCTGTTGGTACTGAGAATATTTGATGGGATCCTTTTCGAAAACTTCATACGTCTGTGATTCCAAATTGTCCATTAAAGGCTGATAAAACAATTAGGCATTCCATTAGCATAATTGAAACCTAAAGAATCAATAATGTGCTGAAAAACTCACTAGGCAAAATGTTTATCCTTTGACAGTCAGACCTGCAGTGGTGACTGAAGGTAATCTTCATAGCCTTTGGCGAAGAGCTCATAGGCATTAGGCGCTGGACGGTTTTGGTTGAGGTACTCCAGATACTGCAGGTACGAGCGCATGTCTTTCTCACTGTGGCGGTTTGCCCCTGTGAAAATGAACTGAGACTCCAGCTAAGGAGACCCTAGAATGTTAGACAACCTTCCTGAATAGAATGAATGCGACATAATATTGGTAACATTTACCTTAAAGAGGTGAAAGATGACTCGCTGGTGGGCTTTTGAAAGGACCGGAAACCCTTTTTTATTGGTTAGAAAAATGCTGGTAGGGAGAATGGCTGCTTTGATTGGCTCTCCAAGCCACTTGTCGATTAACGTGTCAGATGGCAGGTCTTCTCCGATTTCAATAGCTTCACAAAGAAGAAAAAACCCCCCAGAAAACTTAGTATTCACCACTTAATTTTTAATAGGCAATTATAAGCACTTCACTTTTGAGTTTTTTTTGCTCTTACCAAGGCAAATCCTCTTGTTATAGTCACAGAGTGTTCTGAATGAGTGCCACCTGAAGAGAAAAATGGTAATTAAATGAACAGAGGCCAAAAATTGCTTTATTCTCCATGTAGTTGAGTGATTTAATCACACAGCAGACCCAAATATGGACTAGGAGAGAAAAAAAACCCTCACATTTATCCTTAATGGGATGTTTTAATTAGATATTTAATATCTTTATTTAATTGAACAAATGGCTTTGTTTCAGCTCTCTCACCATGCCCAGGTCTTCTCATCATTGCTGCCATCATCCAATTGTTTAGATGACTCGTTCTCGATGAGATCTTCACACGTGTCCTCGGGAGCTAACAGTGGAACGCGTATCCAAAACTATGTAATTAAAAACAAACCAACATTGAACTAATTAATTCCTAATCAACAAAGAAAGCAGCATTACAACCAATAAAAGAGCAGCCAACTGAGAAAAAACAAATGGATTTGTTTCTGCTTGCACACTGATCCATTACACGTGGCTTTGCATTATAATTGAGTTTAAACTGTGCCCTTATTGGAACAGAGGTTGTGTCTTTGTATTTTGTACAAATGCTTTTAATAACTTACTTTCTAATAAGCCAGCATGATAGAGTACACTACCACTTAAAGGTTTGGGGTCAGTAAGATTTTTGCAATGATTTAGAAAGAAATCTCTCACAAAGGGTGCATTTATTTAATCCAAAATACAGTAAAACAGTAATATTGTGAA